AGTTGACTTCTCACTTCAAACTGCCATGATCCCAATGTATGTCATTTTCGACTACATTCACAGTACTCACCTCACCTCACCTCTTATCTACCTTTCTACCTTCGTCTTTGAAACACTCTTCTGTTCCCTCCCCACCCCCTCTCGACTTTCTTTCACTTTGATGTTCCTTCCCCTCTATGAAGCCCGAAGTCAACTAAAGGGCTAATGATAACCATCAAAACGCCTGCCATTTGATATAAATAAATTACTATGTTTGGGGTGGAATATAACAACCACAAACGCTTACAACGAGTTCCTCTATAGGGGTGAGCGATAGACTTACCTCCACGTGGTGCACCCTGGGCAACGTATATTCATACGGCAAAGTCTATTACCTGGCAGTTGACTCCTGACTTCAAACTGCCATGACCCCACTGTGTGTCATATTCGACTACTTCACAGTACTCATCTCACCTTTTTCCCCCTTATCTACCTTTGTCTTTGAAACACTCTTCTGTTCCCCCTCTCGACTCTTTTTCACTTTGATTTCCCTTCCCCTCTGTGAAGCCTGAAGTCAACTAAAGCGTTAATGATAATCATCAAAACGCCTGCCATTTGATATAATAATATTATTATTATCATAAAGACTGCCATTTGATATAGACAGTGTTCCTCTACAAATAAGAAATGATGATTCTAATTGGAAGATATAACCTGCTCAGGATAATTCTTTCTGAGATTTCAAGTAAATTAAAGTTAATTAGTGAATTAAGACCCAATGTCGAATCGATTTTTACTAATTGTAAGGAACATACATCTACTAAGTAACTTAAGTTATTATGAAAGCCTAAAAGACCTCCAACTCGAACTTCGTAGACAATGGAGTACTACACAAAGTCAAGTTTTCCGCGCAACTTACATTCCTCGTGTGAGATTCTTACAAAAATGACTCAACAGTGTAATGAAGGCGAAGCGAACTTACTTGAATTAGAAATATCAGAATTCGACCAGTGCAGAGAAAGAAAACAGTTGGTACCTTTTACGTGAAAAACTGAAACCCGGAGTGATTTCCTACTTAGATGTGGTACTTTCAAGTGTCGAAATTGCGAAGGTTCAGTAATCTTCATCTCGCAAACAGTAAACAGCCTGCCACCATTTCTCTTTGGAATCATTAACAAGAAACAACTTATGAGCAAAATAGATCTGTTGGAATTAGCACTATAGTTAGGCTAAATATATCAAAGGATGTCAATGTAAGCAACTTATAAATTGGTACTAATTTCTTAGGCTAGTAGGGTAACTTGATAACTTTAGACTAGTGCTAGCCCTTTACTAAAGGGATATAGCGATTTTCCTCAAAACCGGAAGATGAAGAATTCTCGGCATAAAAATCTGACCAGTGTCTGCGAAGTCGTGAGAAATAGTTGAGATGAAGGAGATTGAGAGGGGTTGTCTGATTTCGTGTTCTTTATGAGTCATCATTTACGTGCCCTAAATTCGGTGATTATCACATGAAATGCACCATTAATGACCAGAATCAATTCGCAAACAGAAAATATTCAATTCATTATAATTTAAAAAATTGTGATTAATAAGTCTCACCAGTTTCGGGGTCATTGAAGAGCGCAGTGACTTTGGCGACATGCGGAGCTCCTTGACGGTCGGGTCCACTGCAGAGAAGAACATTATCACCCGGAGACACCACCATACCGTCTTTCTGGTGCTGCATTGAGGGATAACAGAACCGTAACACTGGTGGTGAATTTGGCTAAAGGGAGAAGAAACAGGAAAAACAAATTAACCGAGGCACGATTAACATAACATTCATAATGAATGAAAGCATTGTGACGACTTGTACTTAAAGTTAAAATAACTTTCCCTACAGCGCGCTTTCTCACATGTAAATTGGAAAAAGGACTAGTAACATGGAGCAATTGATAAACGTGAATTCTGCCGTTTATTAGTCAAACCTAGCCAGTCCAGCTGCCCATTCTGCCCACTAGGTGTGGTACACCGAGCGCGTTAATCAATGTATCATCATAGAGAGAACACAATTTCTAACAACATCAAACTAATGAGAAGAAAGAGAAGAGTATGGTAAACAGCGTAGCTAACATCAAAACATTAGACTTTGAATAAAATTTCTCTGTGTTCATAAGTATTTAGCAAGAAAATTTTCCAAGCCCATAGATAGACAGCGATAGACTCGGAGCTCTTCCTATGAGAAAATTGCATTCCATCAAGTGGAAGAAAATGAAAGGTAAATTTGGATTTGAGAAACCTCATTTCCGGTTGAAGAGCACGTAGAAATGCAAAATAACGTATTAACAATACTAAAGTTCTCAGGGTGCGCGATAGACAACCCCATGTGGAGCATTCTGGGCAACATATACTCTAACAGCAAAAATTAGTCCATAAACCGGTAGTTGACTTCTTGCTTCAAACCATCATGATCCCACTCTATGTCATATTCGACTACTTCCACAGTACTCACTTCACCTTTTCTCTACCTTAGTGTCTGTCTGTCTCTTTTACATCTTTGAAACTCTCCTCTGTTCCTCCCCCCTTCGGCCTTTTTCACTTTGATGTTCCTTCCCCTCTGTGAAGCCTGAAGTCAACTAAAGGGCTAATGATAACTATCAAAACGCCTACCATTTGGTATAAATAAATAAATGTTGAGAACCTCCGCCTAGTACTTATTGGGGCTTACAAAAGTACTAAAATTGTTTATAATAATGCCGTTTAATGCTATCATGTCATGTACATCTAAGGGTTAAGAGAATGCCAATCACAAATACATTTTTAATGAAATATTTGCTTTCCGATATATCTCCAGTAAATATACAATTGAAAACCGCACACCTTCTGTTTAAATTGGTTACTTTTTAAACGAAAGTAATATGATCATTCCATTTTGCTTTAATTCATAAAATCACATATTTGCTCAAGGCTCCCCAGGGTATGCGATATCCCCATTCGACAAATTTATCAATCGATAATAAAAAACATGGAAGCCGGTGCATAGTCAAAATTAGGTCAAAATCTACTCTAGCTGGGAAGATCTGATTGCACTTTTTCTTCAGGCAAGCCCAAATAATTAAGGGTTAATTCGGAGGAATTATGAGTCGGCAGATAAACACAGACGAATTAAATATTTAAAAATAATCATTTTTTTGAAATGGGCACGAATTATACTCCCAGACGAAAGTGATGACTTTTATCAGCACTATTTTTGCGTTTAATTCCTAAAAGCAAGATCCAACTTACTGATTAATACCATCAAGTGTAAGCAGAGAGAAGCAATTTTTATAATTATAAATAAATTTAAACTGTGTAATTATTTAAAAGTGGGGATATTTAAACAAATTGAAAATCTGATTACTGAATGTTGAAGTGAATTGACAATTAATTGTCTTTGTAGCAAATTTATTTATTGGTATTTTACGCAGTAATGGATGCCTTTCTGGTCAGATTTGATAATGGAGCGTAATAATTCGACTTAATTGCAACGCCCTGATTGGTTATAAGGCCCGATCTTGAATAACGTTTTGATTGTCATCGCGTTTTTGTCACGACGTTTGCGTGGTCCTGTGATAGAATGAGATGGCGGTTCAAAATGAATAGTGAAATGCTTCAGAATAAAAATGACCCTCCACACTCTCCCCCTGTCAACTATATTTAACCTTGTCTTTTAAATGAAATTATAACCGCATGCAAACGGGTCAATACTGTCATCAAAATGCTATTTCCTCAAAGGGGAATACCTAGTCTACTGCTCTACTCATATAAAATTAGATTGGCATTTGATTTTAGTACAATCCTCATTTTTTCATAGTCCCGCTGTATATTTTGTTGAGCCATTCACATCGTGCAAGCAGATTATCTATTTTATACCATGTTTAAAACTATCATTCATCAATCATAAAGAAAGTGATTTCTGATCAATGCAAATATGATCACTATTCACATAGCCCCCCCCCCCGAATTACAACATGAGTTGTCACCCGGGCCAATATATGATTAACCGCAAATCCTATACATACACACACAGACAATACTGCCAATTGGGAAGCAATAGCCAATTAATTCTAATATTTATTTATTTCAAATGGCAGGCGTTGTGATAGTTGCCATTAGCCCTTTAGCTAACATTGGGCTTCATAGACAGGAGGAGAAACACCAAAGTGGCAAAAAGACGATAGGGGGACAGAATAATGATTCCCAGATGTAAAAGAGACAGACGAATACAAATGCAGAGAATAGGTAAGATAAGTACTGTGGAAGGGGTCGAATTTGACATACAGTGGGGTGATGGTAGTTTGAAGTCGGAAGTCAACTGCCGGTTAATAGGTTTTTTTGCTGTATGAGTTTACGCTGCCTAGGGTGCACCACGTGAAGGTAAGTCTATCGCACACCGCTTTAAATTATTTCAAATATTGATTTGACCCTCAATTCCATATCAGAAAAACTAATTGTTCATCAATTAATCAGAATGAGACTTGACAGATGGATGTCAAGTCTTATTCGGAAACGGAGTATA